ATATGAGTGGACGACAATATTTTGTGCCAAATATGGACATTTTGAATGCAATGTCATGCCTTTTGGACTTACCAATGTATCAGCCATATTCCAATACTTAATGAATGGCACAATGTATCAAAATTAAAGCTGTTGCAAGCATCTCAATGACTTTCTTGTAATCTATTTAGATGATATTGTAAACTTTTTCAAGAATCCGGAAGACAACAAAAAAATATGTCTACCTTATGTTGAAAAAGATATGAAGTACAAGGCTATATGCAAAAATAGAGAAGTGTATATTTCATGCATCTCAAGTTGAATTTGTTGGATATATTATTTCCAACAAATATCTTTTTATGGATCCAAAGAAGATATAAGCAATCATCGATTAGACAAAGCCAAAAACTATATGTGATATTCAATGCTTTCTTGGATTTGTAAACTTGTACAGAGTTTTTATTATAAATTACTCCAAGATTGCTGCTCCACTTATGCAGTTGATATGCAAGGACAAGCTAGATTAGAGCTCGGAAGTAAAGAAAGTTTTTCAAAGCTTAAAAGATGCTTTCACAATAGCTTTAATTTTGATACATCCAGATTTCAATAAACCCTATTTTATGGAGACTGATGCCTCAGACTTTACATTGAAAGCAATCTTATCACATTATAGAAAAGATTGGAAACTTCATCAAATTGCATTTCTTTCTAGAAAATTTTCAATGGAAAATATCAATTATAAAATCCATAATAAATATTTTTTTGCCATCATGGATTCTTTCCAAGTATGGTGCCACTTTTTTGAAGGCACCTTTCATCATATGACTGTATATATAGATTAAAAGAATCTTAAATACTTCATGTTAGCTCAAGTCTTAAAACATCACTAAGTGCATTGGAATATATCTTTATCGTAATTTGATTTTTGCATCACATATCGATCCCAGAGCCAACAAGGATTATCAAATGTATTATCAAGATATTCCTATCTCAAACCAAAAAAAGACAAGATAACATATGATCAACAACGGGCAACCTTGTTAAAGCTTGAGCAATTTCAGCTTCAAACAACTAATGTATTAATGCTTATGGATTTATCATTTCTTGATTAGGTTCATAAAGCCTCAATTATAGACCCTCTTATTTTTAATATCAAGCATCTTATAAAAAATCTTTTTGAAGAGTCTTCTAAATTTAAGATTAAAAACAACTTCTTATTCTTTAAAGAACGTTTGTTCATTCCTAAAGAACCAACTCACCTATGCATTCTTCAAACATGCCATGACTTTCCTATAGTTAGACGTTTTAGGTTCAATAAGACCTTAGAATTTTTATCTAGAGACTTTTGGTGGCCTAAAATGTAGAAGGATGTTAAAGAATTTGTACTATCATGTGATATTTGTTTAAGGTCAAAGAATCCTTGACACTGATCATATGGACTTTTTCAACACCTTCCTATTACAAGACAACTATGGTCATGTATCTCCATGGATTTCATTACAAATCTTCTACCATCAAGCTCATTTAATACTATCTTTGTAGTTGTTGATTGATTGATCAAGATGGCAAATTTTATACCTTGCAAGAAATCAATTATTGGTAGAGAGACAATAAGACTCTTTATTGATAATATATCATGGACATATATATTTATTTTAATAGTTACTTATATGATTAGGTAGAAATAAATAAATATAGATTAATTTCATAAAGTCTTTTAGAAAAGCTTCTTAGAAGCTTAATAGATGCGGTTTTGACTTTAGGGGTATTAGTAGGATAGAAACTTGGCCAACAAGTTAATCAAGTATTGATAGCTTATAGAACAAGTTAATTCCATATAATAGCTTATAAAACAAGCTACTTATATGGCACATACATATATAACTTGTCTTGCAAGTTAAAACATGTGGCTAACAAAGTCAACATATGTTAGAGATCCTATAGAATATTATCATGTAGCACCTAGTTAGAGAGTATATATGGAGGCAAGAGTGAAGCCTTCTTCAGTCTTATCAATGCCTTTCTAGTCCTTAATCTTGTTACAAGACTTTCTAGTTGTCACTACGATTTGCCAAACAACATTCTGCTGGATTGTGGACTACAATTTGAATCGAGGTTTTAGAAGGCACTTTTCAAGATTCTTAAGGTTGATATCAATATTTTTTTGTCTTCCACCATCAAACTGATGGCCAAATGGAATAAATCAATCTAATTATTGAGCAATATTTGACATCTCCCATCAACTATCAATAAGACAACTAGATTTTCTACTTGTCATGGGTGAAATTTGCATATAACAATACAATCCATGCATCTACACAACAAATTTCATTCTATTCAAATTACAACTATCATCCAAAATTAGATATAATAGAGCCTTCAAAGTCGAAAAATCTAGCAGCAAAGAAGTTTGCTACAAAAATGGCCAAACTTCAAGAAACCATGAATATTCACCTAAAAAAGGCTCAACAATGTTATAAGCTAGTGGCAGATGAATTGAAGAAGGAACATCCTTCATTCCAAGTTGGTGACAAAGTGAGGCTTCTTTGGTCCAATATAAAAACCAACAAGCCATTTGATAAGTTGAACTACAAAAGGTTGGGACCATTTGTGATTCAAAAATAAATCAATAACGTAACTTATTGCTTAGAATTATGTATATCTATGAATATTCATTCAGTCTTTCATGTTTTACTTACAGAAAAGTATAAAGAATCAAACATATCAAGTCAAAGTCAATGACCACATCCTATGGTTGAAATCAATAATCATATTGAATTTGAGGTAGAAGAGATAATAAATTCAATGATAAGTTATAGAAGACTTCAATATCTAGTCCATTGGTGAAGATCTGATATCAAAAATTAGACGTGGAAACCAGCTACCAATCTTGTAAATGCACAAATGAAGGTTCAAAGGCTCCATCAACGACATCCATCCAAACCAAAAGTGACAAAATGAAGAACAGTAGCTTGGTAAAATAGCTTCATCATGAAGATTCTTAGTTCTTGGCCTCATAAAGTAGGAGAAGAAGCAATCTCTGAAGAAGTAGTTTTTTCAAATGTTTAGAACAATAATAGTCAATAGTTCGAGTTCACAACTGTAAATTGTTTATATTCTTTTGATCTTTTCTACTTTATGTCATCTAGATAGTCAAGACATAGATACCGTGTTGGTCATATCATCTCAACTAAGTAGCTTGCGAAGATGACCTTGAGATGAAGAGCTACCTAATCCACAAAAAAGTTGAAGGATATCCAATAATAGGTCACTAGTAATTGTGTTTGGGGTAGAACTTGCCTATGAAGGACGTTGTCATAATACGTGAAGTCTTGCTTGAGAATGCTCCGGGCACCTGGCTGTGGAAGGTAGAATGGAAATTGCAACAATATAATCCTAATTCTAATAGAACACTAACAATGCTAAATAAGATTTCATCAAATTTAGATAAACCTCATAGGAATTCCAAAGAAACAATAAGAAATCTTAAAGAAATATTAGAATGATTACAAACATATCTCAAATACATCTCAATTCAATCTTAATTTAATCCTAGTTGAAATCTTACATCATTCAAACTTTAGGCCAAAAACTAACTAAATCTTAAATCCTAAAAAAACATAAATAAAATCCTAAATCCTAAATCAAATCGTGATTAAATCCTAACCAAATCTTAAATCCTAACCAAATCCTAAATCCTAAATCAAACCCTAACCAAATCCTAAATCCTAAACCCTAAACCAAACCCTAATTCTAAATCAAATCCTAATCAAATCCTAAACCCTAATCCTCAATCAAATCCTAATAAAATCCTAATCTTAATTCTAAATCCTAAACCAAACCCTAACCAAATCCTAACCCTAAATCAAATCTTAACCAAACCTTAACCCTAAATCAAACCCTAACCAAACTCTAAATCCTAAACCAAATCTTAATCCTAAATCAAATCCTAACCAAATTCTAATCCCTAAACCAAATCCTAATCCTAAATCAAATCCTAACCAAATCCTAAACAAACCCTAGTCCTAATCCTAAATCCTAAACTAAACCCTAATCAAACTCTAATCCTAAATCAAATCCTAACCAAATCCTAGTAATTTCTATAACAAAATTAAACCTCAATAATTAATGAATGAACCATTGATCTTAACTCAAATTTTGCTCACTTCTTACAAACTAAGTTGAAAACAAGTATAATTCCGTAATGAAGATATCAAAGTGCATGCTTGGTTACAAGTAGAAGGCTTTGTGATGGATTAGTGGGTATGCTCTAACTTATAAGAAGCATTCACTTAAAGTTCGAAGGACCAACCATTACATTTTCAGTGTACAAAAGCCGAATTCAAAGCCATTCCTTCAATCATCATCGGAGTTATTAGAATCAATGAAATAATTGCTCTCTACACAAATGTCTTTAGTTGCTGGAGAGTTCTCACCGATTTCACCATTTTCCTCCATTTAATGTACAAATAATTGAGCAGACAGGACGAGCATTCACTGATAAAGAAAAAGAAAAAACAGAAAAAAGAAAATGGACCTTATCAAAGCACAGCTCTTTATATCTAAGATCCATCCAAGAGCATCGGCAACTCGCAGAGGTTGCGTATCTAATTTACTCAATCTTGCAACATCCAGTCATTTCTAGGTCACTGTTTTCTGACCTGAAATATGTACTCTGAAGAAGCCTACATTTCACAGAGGCCAGAGAACAGATTCATAGTTCTCATTAAGAACCTTGGGCTGATCTTGAAGCAAGGACTTATAATATCGAAATTCATTCAAGATAACGATTGTCATCCACTTAGCGAACGAAGAACTCTTTACTCGTATGAGCCCGTGGAAACCATCCGGACCACGCAACCCGTGTCACAGAACCATCGTTTGCCAATGACAATACGACAAGTCAGCGCAACGAATCCGACTTGACATACACGTCGGACTGGACGAGGTGACGTGGTCCGCCACGACATCGGCCCTTCTTGTTCTTCATAAAGGTGCCGCCGGCACAGCGTGAAGGGGGGGGGGGCTTGCAGGAAATGGCTGCTGCGGGGAAGAGGAAGAAGCCCTCTGGGCTCCCCATACAACCACTGTTGGTGTGTGCAATTATATTCAAGCGTGTCTGCGCGTTGTCGTGACAATGTCGTGGCATTGTCCACTACTTTACTCGCTAGAGTCGTTGAAGATGCAGTTGTGTAATTGGCCTTTAAATCAGACCTCGGCATTTCGAGTGTGAGCCGAGTTCGAGGGATGAATTTCTGCACAATGGCTGAAAGGTTCTGAGGGCCATGGCGTGAAGGTGCGGAAGGTGGGGTTTTGGAGATTGAGAGGGATGAGTGAAGGCAGGGACCTCGGCGTGTTTGCGGAGTAGAGCAGGACCGATGAGGCATTGAGCACGATTGCTATGGCGGAGAACAACACCGTCGACGTGACGAAGAGGAAGAGTCACGGGAGGTGGCTCTCGTGTGTTTACTGTCTCCTTGTGTTGTCGGTTGCCGTGGCGGTGAGATTTTTCTCTCAACCCTTGCCATTCCAAGTGTTGCAGCCTCAGATTGCCCGACATAGCTCGGATTCGTGTGAGTGCGAACGCAACCAGCAGTTTCAGGGTGTGGTGAAGGATTGTTGTTGCGACTACGGGACCGTGGATTTGTTGAATAAGGAGGTGCTGCACCCACTGCTCCAGGAGCTCGTGAGGACGCCCTTCTTCCGGTATTACAAGGTGAAGTTGTGGTGTGACTGCGAGTTCTGGCCCAACGATGGGATGTGCCAACTGCGTGATTGTAGTGTCTGCGAGTGTCCGGAGAGTGAATTTCCCGCCGCGTTTAGGTCTTCGGGGCATGCAAGTTGCCAAGAGGGTACACCTGAAGGTGCAGTCGATCGAACGGTGGACGCCAAAGCTTTTCAGGGTTGGACCGACAGCGACAACCCTTGGACTGTGGACGATGAGACTGAGAGTGAGGACATGACGTACGTCAATCTGCTCTTGAATCCGGAGCGGTATACGGGGTACAAGGGAGAGTCTGCCCGTAGGATATGGGATGCAATTTACGCGCAGAGTTGCTTTGAGAATGGTGAGAATGAGACATGTGCTGAAAGGCGTGTGTTTTACAGGCTCATATCCGGGTTGCACACCTCTATTTCCACCCATATTGCCGCGGATTATCTCGTGGATGAATCGGTGAATGCTTGGGGCAAGAACGTCGCACTGATGCATGAGCGCGTTCTGCAGCATCCGGAGCGTGTTCAAAATCTGTACTTCACTTACCTCTTCGTCTTGCGCGCTGTCATCAAGGCCGAGGCCTACTTGTCTGAAGCTGAGTACTTGACCGGGAACGATTCCGAGGACAACCTTACTCACAAGCTTGTTGCAGCGTTGGTGGGTAATGAGCGGCTTCGAACCGCATGCCCTATTCCTTTCGATGAGGCTAAAATGTGGCGTGGACCAGACGCGATCGAACTAAAGGAACAGTTGCAGAGCCATTTTCGGAATATCAGCGCATTGATGGACTGCGTTGGCTGTGAGAAATGCCGACTTTGGGGCAAGCTCCAAATTTCGGGTCTCGGCACGGCACTCAAGATTCTCTTTTCCTTAGATGGAGAGACTAGCGCTGGCAACGTGATTGATCTTCAACGGAACGAGGTGATAGCCCTAATGAACCTCCTTTCCAGATTATCAGAATCCTTGGAGTTAGTACATGAAATGGCTGACGTGGTCAAGGGTCACAACAAGTTGTCCACCTCTGTCGACGGTGTTTCGACAGTACCGAATCAAAGTAAGAGCAGCTGGTGGTTTCTTCAGGAAGATGACAAACCTCCCAAAAGTCTTCCCAGCTTGTTTCAGAACTTCGGATTTTAGAAGTCTCTTCTCGGTTGCAGAGAATTGAGCGAATTTATTTCTGCATGCTATGTGTATACATTTTTGAGTCCTGGATTGCGTAAGTGGAAAAACAATAGAGCCGCACGTTGATTTCAATCAATCAGCATTTGTATACTAATGAAGAGGTATGTTAAGACTTCTATACTCCAGTGGGGTCATCAAATGCCCTGGTAGAGCTGGGGCTGAACAGTTGTGGTCTCTGTCTTAGATTAGTATGATGATCATTGTCGATGAGCGTGTCATGACATGCCGCAGCTGGGTCCAAGACCGAAACCGTAAGCATTTGACACAATCTACTAGCAACCGATCTTTTGAAGGTCAGTACGGTAATCTTTTCCTCATGTAGGATCCAGGAAGGTGTTTCTCTTTAATTTATTTTTTCGTGCAAGTTTGCCTTTGGCAACATGTTGCAACGCTATTAAGAAAATAAATTGCTTGATGATCCATTCTCGGAAGACACCGTGCACCGCAGCAATCCATGTTTCACTTTCTTGAGGATCTATATTCTGAACGATTTCCTTGAGTTTCTGCTAACCCTGGAATGTCCAAAATTATTTTTTCCTACAGTAGTCTTGTCTCCTCCACTCTTGCCTTGCTGCTCTGGTGTGGTTGGTTTTCCCAGCCTCTCTGGGCTTGCTACTCAAGTGTGTGCGTTTGAGTCTTAAATAGTCCTCATGATCGATCAAAAGTGCAACAGTAGTGTGGACCCTCGTATACACACTGACCGGTTATGTTTCATATCCAGGATTCTGTGGAGGTGATCAGAGATGGTGAGCTTCTTTTCCGTGCTACTTAAAGAAATTTGCAGAAGATTGACTGGGCTAATCAAAGAATTGTTGTGAAGTTCAAACCCCGTAATGACAAGTGTTCACTGTTAAGCATGATGGGAGTGCCTCTGACAGACAAGCAAGACGACGAGCCTATGACAACTCTAAATTCCAAGTAATAAATATTTCCATCCAAACCGTGTGAACCGATGTCATCGTGCAGTGAATCATTCGGCAGAGAAAAGATCCACCTCCAGTAGCAGCTCCAGCTCCATCTCCTATGGTAGAACCAGGACTTTGTCTTCAGCTCCCCGAAGCCCTTTTGGGTTTCCTTTCTTTGCTTTTTTGCCCTTCCATCCCTCACTCCCTCAGTCTGTGCTTTGTCTTTGCTGTGCTTTCATCTCCTGAACCCTCAATGCCTGTCGAATTAATTGTGGCTCCAAAACATCTTTTTCTTCATTGTCCTTTTCACGTTCACATTTATTGGAAGTTGAAGAATATTCTTGTCTGTATTTTTGTTGTGCGGTTGGAATATTCTCAATGTCTATCTTCCACTTTCGGTATGGGTGACAATTTTTTTTCTGTTTTCTTTTATTCTTTTCTGTGTAGATATTTGTGCGTGTTTGTTTCCCTGTAGTTTTAATGTCATGTTTTTATCTGTACCCTTTCAAGTAAAAAACTGTTCAAAAAGTTGTGAAATGTATACAATATGTACAGATTCACTATTTTTATGTAATTAGAATGATCAAATTTCAAGGCTCTCAAACATCGTACAAAGATGGATTACATTGTCTTCAAGTTTGCAAACAACAAGAATTGTATCATCTATTCTTTGAAAAGCAAAGCTTGCCTCAATTAACTCTCATCAAGTTCCACAAAGCACTATAAGTTTCAATTTTGTTTCTACACACATAAGCTGTAGAATTTTAATGTGGAAATTATGATTATTTTAAAAGATGCATTAAGCTTGTAATCTAGAGATTTGTACTTGATTGCAAGCTCTGTATGTGAATTTGCATTTGATTTTTGTATATTTTAGTTTATTATTCTTTTAAGAATGAATATGTAGAAAGTATATTGAACAATTTAATGTTGTTGTCCATAGGCATATGATAATTATTATAAAGTCATGATTTTTCGTTTTTAATTTTTTTAAATAAAATTTTACTGTATTTTCTTAAGAATATATTGCACTATTTGTGAAGGTTAAAATTTACTTTACTAAATTATCTTTGGAATAAAATGTTATAAAGAAAATCAAAGAACATTTATTTTCTATCACTTTTTAATTTTGTGATAACTTAAAGTTAAAATTCTAACTTAGTTATGATTTGATCTTATACTTCATGTTACATGAGATTTTAAACAATAATCAAATCAACACATAATACAATAACTTAATACTTTTTGTATTTTTTATTGTATGTGATACAAGCACCTACAAATTCTTTGCAAACCTGCAATTGTATGAAATTATAGTATAATATGTAGATTAGCTCTTTAAGTTTAATTTATTTCTATAATAGAATTTTTATTAAAAAAATATTAATTTAAAATGAAATTAAATCTAATCATTATAAAACTCAACTTAAATGATTCTAATCCTAAAATATATATATATATATATATATATATATATATATGCTTTTTAAATTCTAAAAAAAATTAATTCTAAAATAATTCTAATATTATATGAAACTTAAATTTTTAAAAAAAAACAAACAAACAAACAAAAAAAAACAAACAAAAAATCAAAAAAATCCCAAAACATTTCAAATTGGAATTCTAATTTATATTTCTAAATTGACTCTATGCTAGTCTTTAATCAAGTGCTTGGTTATTGTCTTCTACCCAAGTGATATTTATTTTCTTTAAGAATTGATTTTGTCAACAATAATTCTTTGTTTAATCTCCACACTCATGTTAATTGCATTGTAGTCTAGCTTATATATCTTTGCTCTTGTAAACTACATCATTTTAAAGTTTGGTTTTAATTACCAATAAAAGTACAAAAAACAAACTTAATTAATCATTATCTTTGAAATTGATTCTACTTGATTTTTTTTGAAATTATTTAAACACATACACACACACACACACACACACACATATATATATATATGTATAATTTGCACAACTAAACATATAAATATTTTGGCCTTAGATACTCTTATGTTTTTTTATTATTTATTATTTTATTTTTTGGATGTAAAAACTAATCAAAGAAATAAGAATAACTACTACATTTCTCTTTATAATAATATAACTTCTAAATATTTTTTTTGTATCTTTAATTTTTTATTATTTATATATTTTTATATTATTTTTATAATCATCATTTCTAAAAAAATCTATTTTTTTTACCTTTATTTCTTTGTGGTTTTTGCTTAAAGCCTTACATGTCAAGGATATAGATTTGACAATATCCAAAAGAAAATATACTTAGTTATGAATAAAAATAGAAGAAAATAATGAAAGAAGATATGTCTGTAAGATATAAAAGAATTGAAATTGCTATTACCAAATATAAAGATACCAAAAAAGTCTTGAATAAATACTACAATAGAATAAAAGTGTTGGCAAGTCTTAAAATGGTCTCAATCTTGCCTTCATATAAACTAGCCATAAAGAAGGTCTTGTAGAAGCTTTTCTAGAACTAAAAGACTTGTGGCTCAAGCATCAAATTATAGGTTGCTTTCAACACAACTTCCTAAAATTAAGAAACTAGTGAAATAGGTTTCAATAGTTACATAGCATATCCAAAAAAGTTGAAATATCTAATCCACATCTAAGAAACTAACTTGAAGCTACATAAAGAAGATATTATCTTTCCAACATCTTTCTACTAACTTCTACTTATTTTTATTTACTTCTATTCTTTTAAGTAATTTAAACATTTATTACAATAAAATCTTATCATGGTAAATAAATTTTATTTTATACTAAAAAACTTTGTTATTCTTGCATGTTTTTTATATCAATTTATTCAATCTTTTTTCTAATCCTTCTATATCTACAACTTCACAATTTATCCATCTATTATTTTTTTTTTTTTATAAATTGTCTAAAGGCCAAATTAAAAAATGAGATTGAATTTTTATAAATATATGTGTTGATATTTTTTATATTTTTCTATTTTTAAAATTTTGATATTAATCAATTCTCTATTCAATTCTAAATTTATTTTTTATATGCATTTGTCTTCTTTCTTGGTTTGACAATAATACACAAGCTTTTAGACTCTTCCTAGCTATACATTATGATCTCAAATAATATCTTCTTTTATAAACAAAAATTCTTCTATACCTTCATAAATTATAGGTTTACAATATAATTATTTCTTTTTTATGATTTTATTCCTATACAACATGCATAGTAATCATTAAAAATCGTATTTTTATTTTATTTTATTTTTATTTTTTTCAAAATTCTATATATAATATATACATAAGTTTATTAAAAAAATAAAATACACCAATGATTTCTTATCTCAAAAAAAGATTTTTAAAATTACCATTTTTATATATTTTTTAAAAAATAATTAAAAACTAAATGATTTTTTAAAAGAAATCACTTAAATATTTTTTAAAATAACTATAGTTTCTAATTTAAGATTATAGTCTAATTTTACTATAAAAAGTTCTTATTCTTTTAATCTAAATATTTTACTATCAAAACATTCTTTAATAAAATTTTTCTAATATTATATTAATTTTTTTAATATAATATTATATTAATATATTTTTAACTAGCATAATTAATACTTTAATCTAAATCAATATGATCATAGTTAATTCCCTAAGTAAGTTCTTTAACCTTTAAACCATAACTTTCATGTAATCAAACTTGATTTATTGTAGATTCTATAGATTATGTATATATTAAAATTTTGCTTCAATATAATCAATGATCACAATCTACTATATCCTAAATTAAAATGTGCAAATGTATATATACAATGTGCAATGGTAGATATATCTATTTAATCATTAAAAATATCTTTTATATTTTTATTTTTTTTGGAACCACCTCTTTTGTAACTTTTCCATGATGTATATATATGTGAGAAAATTTCTAATATCATTTTTGACTAATTATAAATTTAATAAAAATCTCAAAGATTTTTAAAATAATTTTAGATACTATTTTTTAATCTTTAAATAATTGATTTTAAAAACTCAATCCTTGATTCTATCTCTTATAAATTATGTTAAATAAATTAACTCTTTTGTGTCTTTTATCTCTTAATATTCTACCATCTATATATATATATATATATATATATATATATTTATATTTATATATACAAATTTATATAATAAATATATTTTTTTCTAAATTCATTTATTTTTACATTGATTTAAATTTTAATATTTTTTAATTTTTTAATAAATTATTTTGATTTATAGATATGCTAAAAAAATTAAAGTTTTATTATAATAATACTATTATTTTTATAAAATTACTAATAGTATTACTTATGCATGTATCAAGGACATGAATCACAAATAACCAAATTATCAATATACTCTTGTATTGTCAAAAAAGAGTGGATTTTTACTCAAAGATACTATAGTAGTGAAACTAGAATAGCTATTGTCAAAGACAAAAAGACTAGAGACACTTGAAACAAAGTCAAAAAAAAAAAAAAAAAAAAAAAAACATTGATTAGAGTTAGGAAGGCCTCACTCTTGCTTCTACACATACTATCTAACCAAAAGCTACAAGGCAATGTTTTATAGGACCCTCAATATAAGTCCAACTTACAGGACATGTGTCTAATTTACAAACCAAGTTTCATATATGTGTGCTACATAGCCAACTTATATCATAAGTGGCCAAAATGTGCAACATATGGCTAACTTATTGGCTAAGTTTTTAACCTACCAATTACCTAAAAATATATTTAAAGCCAGATTTATATCTATGAAGCTTTTCCATAAGATTATAAAATTATATAATTTATTTATTTTTACTTACTTCTACCTAAGTTTTCTTATATAGGTAATTACAAGTAATGATTATATTTTTAATAACTTGGTTTTAAGAATAGATAATACTACTTCTAAAATCGCACAAATATAAAAAAATCTTATATTAAATATTTTTTGTTCAATAGATAATAATAGATATTTATAATAATAATTTAAATTTAATTTTTTTATTTATAATTTAATTTATATACTACCTTGACAATGCTCAATATTTGTATACATTAAAACAACCTAGGATAAAGATTCTGTATATGTAAGATTATATATGTATGTAAATTATATATATATGTATATATTATTATTATTATTCTTAATTTTTAGATGTAAATTTTTATAAAAGTGCATAGAAGTTAATCCTAATATAGTTCTTTATTTTCTAATTCTAATCAATTATAAGTATAATTCTAATTTTCTTTTAAAATTGACCTTCTTAAATTTTATTACTAATCTTTTGATCCATAATATTTTACAACTTAACTCAATTTAATTGAACTAAATTATTAAATTAGTTTCTAAAAATTTAATTTAATCTTTTATACTTAAAAACTATAAGATATCATTAGAAAGATTGGATTTTACATTACACTTGTAAAAGTATAATTATCCAAAATAAACACCTAAAAACTTTAAAATTAGAATACATCAAAAAATTAAATTTTAAAATTTTAAAATTTATTAAAATATTTTGTGAAATTGCATTGAGATTTATCTTTTAAATTTTATAAAATAGAAAATAGTACATACATTCAAAATTTAATTCCTTTAATTTTTATCACTTCTAATTAAATTTTGTGAAAATAAACTTGTTAATTTTTAAATTCACAACAAGATTTTATGTATGATTCAGTTGTAAAGGATGTAATTTTTTTCTTGAACTTAAATATTATGATATTCAAAAAATAATTTTGTATGAGTATTTTTAAAATTTTGTTTGATTAATTTTTTTTAATATCACAAATATACATTAAGTGTCTTTTAGAACATTTTTAGATATTTGAAAATCCTTTAGAATCCTCTAAAACATTTAACCCCATTCTTAAGGTCTTAAAAAACATCATAACATATTGGAACACTTTGTAAGATTCTAAACTTGAAGGCATTAAATTCAGAAAAAAATTCAAGTATAACCCTTAAGAACCCTGAAATATCAAGAATATTCTTGTATTTTTCATAATAACAAATGTATCCATTGTATATGATAGGATATCACTACAAAAGATTTATTTGCTATTTTCAAAATCACAAGGATGTTCTTGATATTTTTTTGGTACTTGAGGGACATATTTGAAAATTTTCCGTAAATTTATTCTATAATAATTTATAGATTGGACCAGCTGGTGGTTGAATTTTATTTTGAAGACTAATTTTACAATTTTAAAAACAATACTTGAAAAAAATATTAGTATCTTTTTTATAAAAATTATCTTGATAACTTTTGTATATATTTTAATAATATTATTAAATTATTTATTTAAAAAAATAATAGAAATTACATATTTGACAAAAAAAATATTTTATACTTGCACAAAATAACTTTGCATATGCAAATATAAAATAACTTTGCTTATGACCATATCAAGCCAGTGAGCGAAATATATTTGTGTGTGACTTACTTTTTTCTCATCCATCCATGATAATAAACTTGAGTAAACCAAAATTCTGTTCGTACCATGAACTGCAAACCCCACTTTGTAACGTGGTTCTTGGTGTGGAATATGTGCCCTGCAAGTTGCTTTGCCCCACTGAATTCTTCAAAATAAACGAATGAATGGATGGATGGCTGAAGTCATGGATGAATGGGAAAATACGTGCGTTGATAGAGGGGATGATGATTGGATGGATGGATGAATGTTTACAAATGAATATGTGGATGGGTGGAATTTCAAGCCATTATGGACACCATCAAGAAGTTTCTTTTGGTTGGATTTATATTACTATTATTATTATTATTATCATTCACAAGTACATTGTGTGTATGAAGTTGCTTGTAGTAGTATTGTTGAGTTTGGTTTTACCCCAGTTGTGGTGCATTTTATTTTAAAGACAAAATATTATTACCAAAATGGTTTAATATACAGCAACTGGTAAAACCATCAAATGTTGCCTAATCACATGAGTGAACAACATCAAACGGTCATTATTTGGTTTTTTATACAATCTTTACATTTGCATTGATCTTTTGTAACCATTAAAAAAAACTCCATTGAATGTTTATTTACTCATATTGTGCCAACTTATTTGCAATTTGATCATTCAATGCACATCCTTATGAACTGATTAACAACTATTGTGGCTAATTTATAATGTTAATATGACGAATTGGGGCACAAAATTGACACAAAATATTGATAAAAAAACAAAAATGGACTTTATTTTGCTCAAACTACTCTCAAAAACACATTATCAATCCAAAATCTAAAATCTCTAAAACTCTATTTTGAAAAATTAATAATAGCAATTTGGTAAAAGCATACTAGTGCTCTCATATTCATATATATATAAAAATTTACACACACGCACAGAGACATACATATACATATACATACATACACACACACATATATATATATATATATATATATGAATACACTCAAACATACGATATTCATTTCATGTGTTACGGGGACAACAATGATGAGTAATGATGGGAAATTTTCAGGGGATAAATTATTCACAACTAACCATTCATGAGCAAGCAAAGGGAAGAATATTTTATCTTGATATTTCAAAGTTAAATTAAATAAATAAAAATAAAAATCAATAATGATGATGCTCAAGACAGTAGTATATTCAAGAATGTGGTCTGGATACTCCCAAGCCTCGGTATCCTGAAAGGCGTTAGTTCCCCTAAAGTCAGATCCCTCTTGTCCCTATAAAATATTCTCCTTCACCGGCTCAGCCGGTAACCTCACGACACCCGCAAGGGCTGGAGCAAAGCCCAGGTTAAGCGGGTGGGGACCAGACGGCGACGGTCCACAACGGCCCCAGCCGTACGCGAACCGTGATCCCAGATCCTGGGCCAGGAAAGGTCCAGGCTCAGTTGGTGCGGTGGCTCGGGTGGGAGTTGTAGCCCTGGGACCGGGTCTATCGGGCACGGGTTCACGGCGCCCTGGGCGCACCCGGTCGACAAGTTCTATCTCGTCACACTGGCTTCTAGTCCAGAATAGCCTTTTTTCGTCCCAGCTCTTCTTCTCACGTCACACTTGATTTTTCATTTATGGCATGCAAACTCCCATGCTAGAGATTAGATCCCTCGTGGTGGTGATTCAGTATTTCAGGTTGTGAGTATCATCCAAAGAGGGTGTTAGGCGCTGCATTGAGAGAGGGGAGGAGGAATCAGCGAGCAGGGTGGTGCCTGGCGTGGGGTTGTTACTGGGTCAAGGGAGATTTTATATCCCCGCAGTTCTGGTCTGGGAGGGCTAGAGATCTGGTCTGGACCTGTGAGGGAGAAATGAGAGTTAAGGGTGATTGAAGAGGTCAGGGGATGATAATAAGCAGGAACGCGCCTGCAGGAGTGGCCCACAGGTTGTATTGGGCGAGGGTTTGTCCTTATCTCTTCTCTCTTGGGAACCCCCCCCCCCCCCCCTTATTGGTGCTTACCCAGCTTGTGCATGCTACTGCAAGTTTTATATCACCAGAACTGGTAAATCAGTTGATTTTTCGCCTGAGTGCTCTGTGACACTGTAGCTCTAGTCTTTCAATTCTGTCGAATCTAGCAATATGTGTGCCGAGCTCAGGGTTCAGTTCACAGCAAACACGTTGTAAGACAAAAGAGACGCATGTAAGAGGCGGTTTTGGAGACGAAAGTTGAGGTATCTACGTCAAGTGCTCACCGGTAAATCACGGAATTTGAAGCCGTCCGCCTACAGGAACCGCAGATGGCCCACTCGCTGATCAGTCAGCAACGATCTTAGAGGAAATATTCTCCTCAGGTCTTGTGGTGCGGGGATTGGTTGGGCTTTTTGCCAGATTTTCAGTTTGTGAGGCAGGAGGAATCTTGCGAACATCCTGCAGAAGCAGCCACACTATACCGATGTTCAATTAATCTTAATTTATGTAGTCTAGCAAAGAATTTCAGAGCCACTATAACATACAGTGACGTCCCTGCGAATTTGACGTGCAGATATCCATAATTATTCCGGAGGTGAAAGCAATTGACTGAGTAGGCAAGGTGCCCATAGCACCATACTTGTCGAGTGGACAGTTACTGTATATCAGGCAATGCACCTCGTTCACGCCACTGTCAGACTCATTCTACGTCAAGGCTAACAGACAAATGACCTGTCATGTTCAAACGACTTTCACAAGTACCTTACAGCTACATCACTATTCTGATGCGATAAAAGTCTAACTTCTGTAGGGCTTGTGGTATCCTGTACTTTCCCACTCCAGAGAGTATCATGTGTATATGCAGGATGTAATATACGTATATATGAAGTCCAGTGCCAGGTTTCTCCACTAGTTCTACTCAGGACCGGGTATTCTCATGCAGTGCAGCTGAATTATCTGACTGACATAACTGCGGAGAATGTATAAGGGTAAAAGGACTGATTTACCATAAAGATGGAAGGGGCTATGGGAGCGTTAAGAGCGATGAAGGAAGGAGGTTGACTAGTAGGTAATGGTGGGAGCATTAGGCTAAGTGTACTTGTGGTGAGATGGGGAGGGAGAGGATTGCTTTGGAGATGGAGTTGGGCTGATGCTAGCAGCTTTTTCTAAGAATATGCATGTGGGGGGCAAGTCGAGGCGCACTCTCCACCATCGGTACCATCCCTACGAGGTACTACGATTTCTTTGTCTACCTGCCTGCTCATTACCTCTCAGCTACTGTACACACCTGGACGATTATCGATTGACGACGTTGTTGCAGTCAGGAACGAAAAAGCCTCATCCGAGCTTGGGTCCCCTTGCGAAAGATAGTGACATTATGAGCAGACTCAAAGTGCTAGCATCTTCGAATTACGCCGGTAAATTATACGCTCACGCCAGTGAATATCCAGTTCATCCATACCAGTTTTATGACAAAGAATACAGACGATGAGACGTGGACTTGGATCTTACGCTAGTGGAGTGAGAAAGACGCCATTCCGAGAGCTATTTTTCCAGATATCCGTCGCTCGGGAATAGACCTTTTATCAGACAGTTTCGGTTGCTTTAGCTCGCAAATTGATCAGCATGACCTCGCAGTGCTGGTTAGACAGTGTCCTTCGTGTTCGCTAGCAGCCCATGCTATTAGGAAGTCCGTGCCATCGCAATTCTAGTGGCTAGTAGAATCTTCCCCGTAACAGCACCTTTCGTTAAGAGCTAGAGAAGAAGATTTTAATCAAGGGGTGCACAAGCATCGCGACATTGTAGGCAGCAATCCCTTAAATCTTTGATCACAATTGTGACATGCAAAAAGATGAATCAAGCATCTCGTGGAACGTAGTAGGTAGTGAGCACAATGGATTCTACTCCGGGTGGATCCGTGCTGTGATTGAGAGGTATCAACTTATTCAGCACATACTGCAAAGAATCAATCAAATAAGCAGACAAGCAAAGTTTCAGATCTCATCGACCTCGTGTCCAGACTTGACCGTCTCTAGTTGGTATGCAGATGTAGACAACAGGCAGTTCAAGCAATAACCGTGCGTGTTGTGTAGCACCATCAAGACAGCCATGTCATCGGTATCTAATGCACCACGAAAGTCGAATGTGGCGTCCACGCTGTTCAAAGCGTCGAGTAGGTTTCTACACGGCGGAACAAGTAATGGACAAGGAGCTGGAGGAAAGAGTATGAAGAGACACAGAGCATGTGCCTTGTTAGATAAAGAGGCGGTCACCGCAGAGAATAGCGACGTTCAAGACACAGCGTTGAACGAGCTAAAGGATAGCTCTGCCGGGACAAAGACCAAGAAAAGGTTTGTGGGAGTGCGACAGAGACCATCGGGGCGTTGGGTTGCTGAAATCAAAGACACAACGCAGAAGATTCGATTGTGGCTGGGAACGTTTGATTCCGCCGAAGAAGGAGCGAAGGCGTATGATAGCGGTATGTTTGTGGTGTTCGTGAGTGCAGACTTTTTGTTACCATCTTCTTCAAATTGTTGGTCCTTAAAACTGCCCATGGTTTAGTGATTCGAGGTTAAACTGACAGGTTGTATTTGTAAATGATTTATTGCTTGCAGCTGCAAGAGCTTTGAGAGGGGCTAATACTCGCACAAATTTCGTTCCTGCCGTGGCAAATGAGGGCACGGTGCCTGCTTCTAAAGCAGCTCGCCTCATCCGACTTCGGCAAATTGCAGCAGCTTCAAAAGCTTGCGAAAATGAGCCCCCCAATGTGACCCAACCGCAGGAGCAAAATGATCCCAACCTCGGGAAGATTCAGGACGAAGGCAACGACCGGCTGATCTCTACTCCGAAGAGACAGGATATTCAGCCCTCCAGCAATTTACGTACTGCTTTAGGTGATAATCCCCCCCACCTACCCTCGTCCCCGCGTAAACCTGCTCGTTTGATTAGCCACAGAAGCAATGCACCGTCAGTAAATGCAAAACCAGAACAGGAAGGTGATGCTCCTCTTCCTGTCATTACTGATCGAGGCGCAGTGGATTGTGACCTCAAGGTTAAGGTGGGAGATTTCCTCTCTCCGCATTGCTCCTCATCGAAGCTAGAACCTCAGCAATCCATCACCTCTGAAAATCTATCCACTGCGATAAATCGGAGTCTCACGGTTTCTCCACAAGATCCTCCAACCCGACCTTCTTCTCCTCCTAGTCTCTCTTCGTTTAGAATCCCTTTTGATGGTATGCAACCAATCAGTCTAGCTGATGGAGATGCACACTTGGTGAACAGCGGTTTAGCTGAAGCTGCAGCAACAGACCTTAAGTTCAACAAGCAAACGATATTCCCAACCCAAATAGTGGAAGAATGGCAACGACTATTGTCATGTGAGAGCTATTTAGCCCTCGCAGTTGACAATTTCATGGCTCTCCCTCCTATCTCCCTTCACGTAGCGCCGTTGGAAGCGTCAATGCAACTATTCAGATCGGATCATAACGTGTCTGATTTCGCAGCGAGCACTCAACATGGCGGTTCTTCCCAACATCATATTCCTTGTACCACCAATAGGGATCTCGTGACCATTTACCCGCCTGCAAGGTACAGCGACCTCAATCCCAGGATGAGCAACGGCAATGAGATCCCATACAGAGCGAGCGTCAGTCGACAGGTGAATTCGGATGATGCCATGAGTATGGACGCTTCCAAGAGCGTAACGGAGACAAAATGTTGTAAACCTGCTTCGACGGTCCCCAAAGAGGAAATAAACTATGGAAGCGCTGAAATACATGGCGTGGAGACGGAGAGAATAGTACAAGAAAGATACGCTTACAGAGAAAAAGAATTTCCAGAACTTCTTGTCTTGGATCACATGCCATGGTCGGAGTACGGATGGGGGGACGAAACAGGCATGGAGTCCGGGTTGCTAGGGTTGAATCTAAGCAGTGAAAACTCAGAAGTATACACCCCAGCGTTCGATTTCTCTGCAGAGACCATTGACAGAGATTCCTGTACAAATGTGCCTTCCAGATCCAACAGTTTTCAAGAATGCGTCGAGTTAACGAAGCACTCAGAGTTGGACTACAGCATGTCACCACACGAATCGAGTCTTTCTAGCCCGCAGTTATCTCCTCCAGCAACCCATCTCTCCATGTCATCATCAGACCTTTGGAGTCTGAATGATACGAGCGCATGGGATGGTCAGTCAAGTGGGAGCACAGAAACCATCACAAGCTCAGACATCAAATCGGGTGGCGATGGCAACGGCGAGTGCACGAGCCAAGACCACGAAGCTCTCTGGAGTTCCATGGACCTCCCTCCGCTTTGTATGGTAGCGTAAGATGTCATTCGACCTAGTTTGGTTCACTTTCCATGTGAATTTGGGATCAAGAGCTTGCCCCCAGTCTTGATCATGCGACAAAGAAAGGATTTCAAACCTTAAAGAGGTGAGCTGAAACTTAGTGAAATCCCTATCGGCAGCGTTTCGGTGATTGCCCACACCAAAACGATTTCATTATAATTTGAACGAATTACTGTACTTTGAATTCGCACTAGTTACGTCCAGCGCCCTGCACATGACTGGGATAGGGAGTACTGGTCATTCGTCATTCTGTTCGGCGGACCCAGCCTGATAATGTTGACTGCAAATCGCTTTTGCTAGATGTTCTGCATTTTTTTTAATACGTGGGATAGAAAATGTCATGACAACTTGAAAGTGTATCTCATACGAATGCTAAGAGGTACTTCGGAATGACAAGCAGCACAAGCTGTTAAGACGAATCGCCTCCTAGCCAGACAACTCTGAGACGATAGAAACAGCGTGACTAACCAACCAGTTTTGAGCAGATACAAGTCCTCTATATAGTGACAGCTAAGTATAAACATATTTGTACACAGGAATCTCGATAGCATGTAGAGTCATTAAGCAAGGGCTTCATCATGAAAATAATCACTAGAATTGCCAAGACATTGCTGACCAGTATGTGTGCTCAACGAATGAAGAGTCTAGCTATGGCAGACACAGCGGACCACAAGCCCCAAAACACAAGAGCAGCTACAACAATGCCTGCTATGATCGTTAGAACCGGTGGCCCTTGCTTCTGTGTCTCTGCATCCGGAGACTTCACTTCCTTCGATGTCTCTGCATCCGGAATATAAGCTTGCTTCGGTGTTTCTCCTATAGCCACAGTCTCATTCTGGTCTGCGGATCCAGCCTGACAACTCCACTTTCTTCTCTGTATCTTCCCTGTACCAGGAACAAGCCCTGTGTAAGCACATTTGTTGATTTACTGCAATGCAACCAGTACGACGTAGTAACATCTCCAACCTTGCCAAACCATCGTCTATCTGGACACCCTGGTAATATCCTCGGAATTGAAATCGCGAGACATTTCACTACTCCAATAAGAGACACGCAGTGGAAACAAAAATGCACAAGGAAGTTCACAGGAAAAAAGACACCTTCACCATGATAGTGTGCAAGATATTCATGTTACTTTTACCCTCTTGAGCTCGCTTAATGCACACACGGAAAGAACGACAAAACAATCTTGGAAGAGGAGAGAGATCTTTATACCTAGGGTGTTCTTCAATCCTAGTCTTGTTGCATTCCTGCATAAATTTGAACGACGTTGCAATATTTCATCAGTAATCGACTAGAAGGTGTCGATGTCCTAATGAAGTGAAAGTGGTGAATTTTATTTCAAACATTGAATTCAATTTTCATGTACTTAGGAATATTCCAATCCGTGGATATTACAAATTGAACTGTGGGTTGATTTCACGGCCTCCTCTCCAGAACAAGCGAGAGAAGAGAGCTTAAGCATTACATTATGACTAAAATCGTGAAAAATATCGCCAAGACGTAATCACTATGAATTCAGCAGCCCTTAGAGAGTCCCTGAAGAATGAAACGGACTCTTGAATCTAATAGGACATTTGAGCAAGACACGCATTCATGCCTTCTTTCATTAACTTCTAGGGCCGGAGCATTCACATGCAACGATAGATGCTAGACTATGTAAAATCATAACAGGTTCTGACAAATACGACAACCCAGACCACAATACAAACAATGAGCCTCCGCGTAGCAGACCTAACTCCCACTGCCTGTAGTGACAAGCGCAAACTACACCTCAGCCGAACAAATACTAACCAACCTCGATTGCTAAAACGGGCTAAGATGTGAGATAAAACGGGAACTCTTACCGAAACCTTCACTGAGATGCAATGCATGCATGCGTAAATAAATAAATAGATAGATAGATAAAAACAGCACCAATCCTACTGCGGGAGACAATTACGAGACCCGAAAGCATATTCAGGATACAGTGCAAACGAGAAAGGGAGATACAAGTGTGAACTTACGTGAGCTTCCAGGGTAGAGGCCTGAAAAGTAGAAAATCTGCACACGGCAACGAAGCCTTGGGCAAAGTAGCTGCTCCAGCGGTAAAGAGACGCGAAGATGAAGGGCACTTAAGGGAGGGCAGCGCGAGCGTGGCCATGGCTGCAAGCGGCGAGGTGAGCGGGCAATGGCGAGTGCAAGCTGGAAGGGTGGACACAAAGAAACTTGAGCTTCGCTCGAACTCGCGAAGCAACGAGAGCCAGTAGCCCCTAACCAGGCCAGAGGGAAAGAGACGAATGACCTTTTAACCATGTATTCTGTGTTCTGGATAGAGTTTCATTCAGTCAGCTTCCTTACAACATTTACATTTGGAAACCAGTATCTCGGGTCATCCTACATTGGGGTTGGTGAACATGGCTGGGGTGCATCTTCTCTTACAACCTTACCATGGTAATTTTTCTTCTTCATCCTTGAATGGATTTTGTGCAATTTAAACAAAAAAATTATATGCCTATCCTTGCCCTTGCCCGTCCATGAAAACTGGTCCTAACTTAGGACCTAGAGGAGTACAGGCCAAGGCAGGTTTGTTCCAGGCTAAAGGAGAGAATTAGGGAGAAGCAATTATGTGAAGAAGGGACAAAATATAAATATAACATGTTTAGTCTATTGTGGAGGCAACCAGAGTTGAATTTGAGACTTGTCCAGCTCAATCAAGTTTCATAGCTAGTACACTTGCTTTTCCAAAAGCTGATTTTAGACTCTAATTTCACATAATTTATATTAATTTGAATTTTGTCCAATCCATTGTGCAATGTTGTGTTATAACACAATTATTTGGTGAAAGAATTATTATATCTATATATATCTATATATTATAGAAATGCTCTATTGAAAATATAGAAACAAATTACTTTAGAAAACATAGGTAAAAGATAAGAAGATCATAAAATATTTAGTATTGATGTTATTTTTTTGTAAAGAAGGAATGCTTCTACTTACTTTAGGATTTAGGATTTAGAAAAAATAATATCACTTGCATTTTTAAGTGAAAGTAAATGGTAGCTTTCAACAAAGTTAACTTAGAAAAACCGTAGATTGATACTTGGGGAGAATTGATTATAAGCTAAGATTGTAACTACTTTCTAAAGCATAAACCATGCACCAACAATAATTGTCAGATTCTTCTCTTGATTTGAAAGCAAGATTGAGAAGCAAACTTAATAGGTTTTTTTTAGCAATAGTTTTGAATGATTTAAGTAGATAATAACTTTGAAAGAACTTTACAAAGTTACTATTTCCTTAAGTGACTTTATTTTTTGTAGAATAAAAAAGAGTTTTTATTTAAAAAAAATTAAGAATCTTTAAGTAAATCAATGTATGAAAAAAATTAGATTATTAAATTTAATTTTTTTGAATATATATTATGTATTTTAGCTTAATTGGATAGTTAAATTAAACATTAATAAAATTCAAGTAGATCAAGATATTGTAGATATATATAATTATGTAGATAAGAATGTTAGGTAAAAGATAAATGTAGGTAGATTTGATAATATGTTGTAAAGAAGTTTTAAAGAAACTCTATAGACTTGGATTTGATTTTATACGTATTTATAATTAATTATTAGGTGTCAAGAATAAAAACTTGATAAATACAAATAAAGTAGAGAGATATTTTTTAAAGAAAGATAATAAAAGAGAGATCAATAAATATATATATTTAAAAGAAATTAGAATTATTATTGCCAAAAGACAGGAAATATTAAAAACCCTTGAAACTAGACTAAAAGCAAGAAAAAAGTGTCACAAACATAAATATTTACTCCAAGAGTTATCTAGATATTATAAATAGATAAAAGTAGATTAATTTCATAATATCTTATAGAAAAGCTTCTTAAAAGCTTTATAGATGCAATGTCACTTTTATGCATGGCAATAGGTGATTGATAGATTAAAAACTTGACCAAAAAATTAGCCACATGTTATACATGTTGATAGCTTGTGGTACAAGCTAAAGATGTGGTGTACATATAAGAATCTTATCTTGTAAGTTAAGACATGTGTCTTGGAAATTAGATATGACTCAGAGGACTTATAGAATATTGTCATATAACTTTTAATTAGATAGTATATAAAGAGGCCAAAATGAAGCCTTTTTCAGTCTTGACAATGCATTTCTAGTCCTTAATCTTGTTTTAAGACTTTTTAGTCTTCTTGTCTTTGGCAATAGTCATTCTAATTTCAATATTATACTATCTTTAAGTGATTCTTCAGTCTTTTCAAGTGATATAAGAATGCATTGAATTTTTAGTTCTTTAAGATTCATATTCTTGAGAAGAAGTTGAAAAGAATATTAACTTATTGTTCTTGACTTTTTTTTAGAATTGAGTAGATTATTATACTTCTATTGTTGTGTTTTGAAGATTGTGGACTATTGACCTTTAATTTTATATTTTAGTACCATAATAGTGATTTTTTCCTTAAAGAGGGTGGACTACCCATCTTTATCAAAAATTTCATTTAGTATTAGAGGTTGTAGATTATCTTCTTCTAATTTGACTAATAGATTTGTTTTGAGTTGTCTATGGAAAGAAAAATTATCGATGCTTTTCTTAGCAAAAGTGAGAACAGATTTCTAACCATTATAGATCTTTACAAGCTTGTCAATACTCTTAAGGTCGAAATCTCATATATCTCTAATATCAATTATATAGATAGTATTCCAATGCCTATAGAAGAAGCCAATAATAAATTTTAAACTCTATGCTTACAAATTGTTCAATTGAGAGAAACAAATAAATCAAGTTTATAACTAAATCCAAAAAGTCTTACTATAATAAATATGAAAAAGATAAGGATAAGTATATTGGAGAAGTTTGATGGAATAAGATCAAAGTTTTAAAGATTTCTACAACAAATAAAGTTCTATCTAAGATAGCATCTTTTTCAATATTCCAATGGATTTATTCAAGTCGGATTTATAGAAGGATTTTTTTCTAAGAGTGCTCTCTCTTATTTGTACTTTTGATAGAAAAAGATTCATGACAATACTATGATTTAAATTCATAAAAAACTTCATTGCCACATTTAGAAAAAATTATTGAAAAAAAATAGTAGAAACCAAACTTGTATCTTTATAATAATAATCATGTTTAGCCGTTGTCGTGTGACGTGATTTGTAATTTGAGAATATATGAGATATCTAGCTAGAGAAAGTTTAGCTTTGACTTATTGACTAAGCTCCAATCAGTGATTTGTCCCACCTTTAACTTATATACAAAGTCTTGACTTCCAAAACTTCTTCACTTTATATAAAATACCCAAATTGTAGAAAAATCCTTTAAAACATATTTTTTTTGTAAAAGATTTCTTCTTCTTGAACTTTAAAAACTCATATCTTTTGATCCAACCATTAATTTTTTTTTCCAATTTTTATATAATTTAGCTATTATTCTTAAGCTTTACTATTAAAAAAAAATACAAAATTTCTATCAATCTTTTGACATCTTAGAAATCCTAGCAAGTGCTCTAAAATCCTAACTTATAAGCACCTAAGTACTATTTTCTTCATATCTCAAAAATTCAAAATTTAAATGCCACAAAATTTAAGCATAAAGTTTATCATTATGACTATATATATTCTTAGAAATTTTGAGCCAAAATCTTGTCAAATTGCTTAAGATATAGCTCAAAATACAACCACCAAGGAATTGAGTTACTTACTACCCTTAGATTTACAAGTACTTACTTTAACTTCTAATATTTCTCTTTTGCTAAGTTGGAATCTATCAAATGATATACTAAAAATATAGCCAAAATAGTGTTCTCTTCAACCTCATTTGCCAATCTTTTATTGCTTTCTCTACGCGCATGTTATATCCAAAAGAGTGATAGTAGGTACAAAATCAACATTTTAACTTTGAGTGTCCATATTTCTTTCATATACAGTCCAAATCACATAAAATTTGTACCAAGATCATAGCCAAAAACCTTAACTTTTTGGCCCTAGCCTTCAAAGTTCAAATGGCCTTAAAGGAGCAATCCTAATCCCTAATAAGGCCTCAAGTAGCCTCCTTGAAGTCCATTGGAAATGATTTTTGGCCAATAGGAATCGAGATTTTTATCATCTATCTTCATTTATCCATATGGATGCCATAAATTCTCTTTTTGCTACCAAGATCTATTTCCAATCTTTTTTCTTATATGATTTATATAATATATGCTCTAAATATCAAATAAAAGAAATAAAATAAGACTTTAAAGATCACCAATGTCTAACAAAGGTGACTTTAAATATATAAAAATTACTATCAACCAAAATTAATCTTAAAAGCTACTATCAAAAGAAAATAAAGTTATGTAAATTCTAATAGTAGTTTTTTTAAACAACCTCTATAATAAGATATAGATAAGATAATTATATAAATAATTAAAACCATAGAATTTTCTAAAATTGGAATCAAGTTAATGGACCAAGAAAGAACTCCATAGAACATTCAAGAAAGGATTTAGGGTGGTTATTTAGATAGGGCCTACGATGGAACCTTCTAAAAAAGAAATTAAGGTAGTTATTTAAATAAGGCCCACTACCTAGGAACATTCTAGAAAACCTAAGGTGATAGGATAAGGTATTAATAGGACTAGCTAGGGCCTTTTGGGGCATCTAGTCTAGTATGGCTTCATACCTATTTTCTTAATAAAGTTTGATTCTGCATCTTTTTATTCAGATTTCTTCTGTTCTATTTTTGTTTGCTCAATTTTATCTTTTATGTCCTATTTTGTTTAATTTTGTTTAGTTTTATTCTGGTATTTTTTGTCCCATTTTGTGAAGAAGCCTTATGTTATTGTGGATTGGAAAGATCTAGGATTTTTGGGATGGTTTAGTCTTGTTTCATTGATATCAAAGTAAATGTTAGACTGTTTGCATTTGGTAGCATGTCAATAGTCATCATTTACTCCAAGGTCAGTTGTTGTAATCACACTGGATACTGTATTGAGGCTATCACAAGCTACTCTTAAAAAATCAATTAGGAAGTGAGAAGGCATTACAATAGTAGAGTCCAACAAAGAAATTATAATATGGAAGATATAACAAAGCTATCCCAAATGGATACTCAAATACAACACTTCTTAAGCAAGATAACTACTTTGTAAGGACAAATAGAAGCCTTGAAGACAAGAGAATCGACATCTGCTGGGTTGAAATTGAATAAGGCTACTACATACTCTAAAACTTTAAAAAAAGAAGATATATGTCAATGGCTCTTTAATATGCAACAATACCTCCAACTAAGTGAGGCAAATATA